GCCGGGCCGCCGGCTGTCCGGGCGCGCCGCCCCGCGGGCGGGAGAGGGAAGGGGAAAGGGAAAACCCCATCGGAGGTGAAGCCCCTGTCCCCACTGCCATTCCACACCCTTCCCCTTTCTTCATTTCCCCCTGCCTGTGTGGTTTCAGAAACGCGTTGTCACTCCTGCCGTGTAAAATTAGTTCTCCTTATGCCTACTGAAGCTGCTGAGATTTTGCGAGAGCCAGGCGTCTCAGTGGGGTTTCCTCTGTAAGTCAGAGCGGAGGATGAAATCTATGCACGGATATGTATAGTGCGTGCAGCCGAAGGAGTGAAGGGGGCAGTGGCGGGTAAGGGTAGGGGAATGGGTTCTTCCAGAGAGTGTGAGATTTCCAAAATTTGTTCTCTCTTTTGCTTTGTCAGAGTAGAACTGTGAATTCCAACTTTCAGACCATTTCAAGAATAAGGCCAAAAGCTGTTAAAGGAGATGGTTAGTGAGTGTAGCAGCCTCTAATATTTTATGGTCTGAAAATTGCATTTAAAACTATGTAAGCTTAGTTTGAAATGTGCTGACTTTTCTTCAATAAGAAAGAAACCCAAAGCAGAGGCTGCACTGAACAGGCTGGGATAAAACGCTGCCAGGCTGCTGCACACAACTTTTCTTCTGTCTGAGGTACACTGGTGTGTAAATTCACTCTGGGGTAGCCTGAAGAGAAACGTGTTCTAGTTCTGCTTGACTACAAGCCTTCCTCTGAGCATCTGAGATGCATTCGGCTGGAGTAAGATAGGTTATACTGACAAAATAATTGCAGGATATCCTGAAAATTTAGGACATGTGTAGGTTTTGTTCTGGGAATGCAGAAAGATTTGATGTTGGAAACAAGAAGAACTGAATATATTTTTAATTGTATACATATGCCTGGCAGCTGGAATGCCACCAAACAGGGAGTCCTCACCGTTATCAGCTGGGTTTGGAAACTGGAGGAAGAATTTCAACATTTTCATGGAACTGGGGATCTCTCACTCACTTTCTGTTTTCCATCTTCTTCTGTCTTCTTCCTACCATAAAGACAGAGCTGACTGAAGGCTTCTAATTACTGTTAACCAACACACAATTTGTATGGGAAAGGAGCAAAATAAGAGAGTGGAGAGCAGCGTGGCAGAAAGTGTGAGTAAGATGTTGAAGGTTTTCTCTTGCAGCCAGCTTGTAGCCTTCTGAGGGCCTTTCCTCCTTCATCTGGAGGCTGTATTCTCTGTCCCCTTCTCTCACCCTGCAAAGGTGTCTTTGCAGCCATCTACACATTTCCATCCCCATCGTCTGGCAGGAGGAACCCCTGCGTTCCCCGCTTGCCAACAACCTGTACTGGGCCATGGTGACCACTATTGTTGCCCATGCTTGAAGGTGGCCTTGCTTAAATGGTAGAGATCGGGTTAGTAAACAGAGCTGAAGTGCATCGCTGTAAATGACAGCCTAGCAGGACCACTGCTCTGGTCTGTAATGAGAATTGCCATTTTTATCAAGTTCCTTGGCTTGGACTTCTTCCAGTTCTACTGAAGTGTAGCTAGTTCATTACGAGCAACAAGTGGCTCATTATAAATGATGAAAATCTTGGCTTTCAAGACTGCCTTTCTAAGTAGTGAGCACTTGAATATAGTATTTCAAATGAGAGGCTCCAGTGCATCTCTTGAGGGTTGTGTGTTTGGGGTTTTTTTTGTTGTTTTTTAGAGTGGCAGAAGGGAGCCATAGTAGTCCACTCGTATGCTTGCAGAAGGTCTCTCTATAAAGTGGAGTTAGTTATGGGTCCAACCGGGAAGACTTCAGCCATCGCAGTGGAATGGTGTTAACCCAGGCACCTCTAAGACTTTCTATATGAACTACCAGTTAGTGAATGAACTTTCTTTAGGGCTCACAAAATTCAGCTACAGAAAAATATCAAATTCAAGGACCCCGAGGAAAGGCTGAGAAAGGGAGGAGTATTCTAGGAAAGAACATAGAAAAGACATTCTCGAGCCTGACAGGACTGGGTTTCTTAATGCCTTGTATCTGTTCAACAGATATGTTACGGCAAAACAAATTAAAACCAGCTTTCCCACATTAATATCACATTGTTTATCATCACACCGTGCTAGTTTGTGACAGGCTGAAAATAAAGAAAAGGAGATGCTCCCTCATACAACATGTAGTTAAGCTGTGGAACTCCTTGATGCGGAACATGATGGATATAAAATTTTATACGGATTCAAGGGAAGACAAGGCAACTATGGAAGAGAAATTCACTGAGGTTTCCTCACGCTACAGAAACTACCTCTGGTTTAAAGTCCACGAGGTGCAGCTGGCTGTAAGCTAAGAGGCTGTGAGGGAGGAGGGATGTACATGGTTGCCCTATTCTTGTGCTCTGCCCTAGGCATCTGCATTTGGCCAGTGTCAGAAACAGGATTTTAGGCGAGGTGGACCTTTGGTCAGGGCAGGAAAGCTATTCTTATGTTCTCATCATAGTATTTCTTTATTTTGACACCTTTATTTATTTATCCATAGATATCTAAAAGTATCATTCCTCTTCAAATTTAGTACTAATTGAGCAATAACCAAAACAGTACTTTGAAGGTAACTTTGTATATAAAAGTTAATGTTTCAATATGTGCGTTTCTGCTATACCAATAACCTAGACAGGTATGGTGTCTCTCTGCAAAATCTTGCACCTGGGATGACTCTGCTCTGCTTTCAAAACCTTCAGATATCTTTTAGTGTGACTGCATACACCCCAGAGCTTAGGCCTGTGAGTCACTGCAATCTCCAGATGTCTTATGAAAGTCCACACATCTTCTGCAAAACCTGAGTTAGCTACTTTAAAGCCAGGGTGGGTATCTTTGTAGTGTATTGTAAAATGTGTTTTATGTATATCCTAGTAAGTAAACTCCGGGTCAAAGTTGGTGTTCTGTCCAGGTGAAGGTGAAAAGCATCAAAAATTATGCTAAAACAAAACCACCCTCTGAATTTGACATCAGAAGCAACAAGCTGTGTTTGAACTGTAGTGCTTAGTTAGCTAAAAAGTGGTAATTATTATCTCTTATAGACAAGAACTATGTCTATATGGTGAAGATGCCTCAAAATTATAGGAGTCGTTAGTCCATTACACAGCTTTTACAGTGATGTTACCAATTCTTTTTTCATGTTACATACTCCGCTTTTTTCCTGCTAAATCTTCAGCTAGCTTGTAAGCAGGCTGTTTCACTGAATAGCAGTACTCATTCTAAACTAAAGTCTAGAAAAGGAAGGCAGTTATCTTTGCCCTGGTTTACACTGCCATTACAATGTAAACCAGAGAGCTTGACCACATACATATCCTTGAATTGCTTGGCTTTTAAAGTTTAATCATAGGCCCTTTCTTTCTGCACAGCTGAGGTTTCCATCTAATTGGAAAGAAGGATATGAGAACGGAGCGCAGCTTTCCCTATGGCAGCAGCCGGTGTTTGGTTAATGCCAGTGACATCACTGCTGCCAAAGGAGAAAAATGGTCTTTTCAGTAATGTTTTGAGCTCAGAATCAAGACTTCTGGGTTCTGTTTCTGGCTCTGCCACAGACTTCTAGCAATTTTACATTCTTTCTGCATGTTTCCCAACTACGGATGGGAATAATACTGCTCTTTGTCTTTCCCATTTAAAGTATTAGCTCTTTGTGTCGTGCATCACCCCATCGAGGTGGGGCTTTCCACATGTGACCATAAGGCGCGGACAGCACAGTTCCTGCAGCCTTTGTGGAATCCTGCAGGAAAAAGGCATGTGATGAGTCAGGAGACTCATCCCTCCTACTTGGCTGGGCTTTCCTGCATGCATATAACCAGGAGACTCCTCTAGACCAGCAACCTTCTACTTTCCTCACTCATCTGTGCCCTCTGACCATGGATTTTGAAATTCTCTGACATCCTGAGAGACATTCAGACACCCACGCATAGGAAATGGATGAGATTTTGGTGACCACGGCACACAGGAGACCCATGCCTTTCAGAGCAGCAGAAGCTGGAAGCATTTAAAATGGGACTTGCCACCTTGTTTAGGTGCCTAAATTGCTCCATCTGTCACATCCAGACAACATAAACTTCGAAAGGGGATCTTCCTAAGTTGGTTCCTTGGGAGAGCAATTAGCAAAGTGCCATTTTCCATAGCAGGCAGATTCACAGATCTTAGGTGGGTGGGTAATGCAGAACCGTTGGTGACTTTTAGGTCACTTACTTAAAGCTGCCAAAAAAACCTTTTTGGTTATTACATGAAAGAGCACAATTGGTCTGGTTTCCTAGGGGTTCCTAAGTCTCACAAATATAGTCTGTCTGTCCATCTCTGCCTGGATCCCAACTTTTGCATGCAACTTTTGAATGCACTGGTGGTTTTCAACCATGTTCTACCTACAATCAGTAGCTAGAGAGAAGAGAAGCAGAAGCATACATAATTGCATTCTTACAGGATAAATAAAAAGAGAGTGGTGCACAGAGTGGAATGACTCAGACTACTGCCCCACTGAGGGAAAAGCAGGTAAAACTCAGCTGTTTCCACCTTCCAGGAGGTAGCTCAGCATGGATGCTGGCTGACTCGTCTGCGCCCATCTTGCTAGAGACCGTTGGAAGCATCGGAGGCAGTGCAGGGAATATCTGAGGCATTTCTATTTTGAGGAGAGTGTTAAATTCTGTTTCACTGATGTCAGTGCTAATATTGCAGGATTATATTTTGAAGATACTAAGATAACCGTGTGTATTTCCAAAGCGTATTTTCAAATTTCTGTTTCTTGTTTTAGAAAAAAATAGAAAAAATGGAGCACGTGTTACTGCTATTCCTATTTTTCATACCTATATTGGGTCTCACTAATGGAACAGAAACTGAACAAGATTTTACTTGGCACCTAAAGAAGATTCCCCAGATTGTGAATGAAAGAACTTTCTCCCTTGACAGCCCTAAGTTTGAAGCAAAAACCAAATTAGAGCTGAACAGTGTGTGTGGAATTGAATGTCAAAGAAAATTGCCGGTGCCAAGCTTGTCTGACTTGAAGGACCTCTTATCCTATGAGACCATTTTTGAAAACGGCACACGGACCCTGACTGAAGTGAATGTCCTTGGACTAGTGCTTGACCCAGCTGGAAACACAACCACACGAGGGTCTTCGAGAAAGAAGAGGCAGATATATGGAACGGACAGTAGGTTCAGCATCTATGACAAGCGGTTTATGACCAACTTTCCGTTCAACACAGCTGTGAAGATCTCCACCGGCTGTAGTGGCATTCTCATTTCCCCCAAGCACGTTCTAACAGCTGCCCACTGTCTGCACAATGGCAAGGATTATGTTAAGGGCAGCAAAAGGCTGAGGGTGGGCCTGGTGAAGACAAAATCCAGAGGTGACGGCAGGAAACGCAAAGGTGCTAAAAGAAGTAGGAGAGAAGTTTATGCAGCTCAAGAGGATCCCGAAGCTGCCACAGAACTAAGGCGACAATCCAAAGGTGGTGGGAGAAAGCAGAGGAGGTCTGGGAGGAAGCAGGGGACCTCGGATGGCATGCCCTCCTTCCAGTGGACCAGGGTGAAGAGTACCCACATCCCGAAAGGCTGGTTTAAGGGTGTCTCTGAGGACATTGCCCTGGATTATGATTATGCTGTTCTTGAGCTCAAGCGTCCCCACAAAAGGAAATACATGGAGCTGGGAATCAGCCCAACAATCAAAATGATGCCCGGGAGCATGATCCACTTCTCAGGTTTTGACAATGACCGATCTGGGCAGCTGGTCTATAGATTTTGTAGCATTTCTGATGAGTCCAATGATCTCTTTTATCAGTACTGTGATGCTGAGCCTGGCTCCACTGGATCTGGCATCTATCTCCGTCTTAAGGAGCCGAACAAAAAGAAGTGGAAACGCAAGATCATTGCTGTTTACTCAGGCCATCAGTGGGTGGATGTCAATGGTGAACAGCAGGATTACAATGTAGCAGTAAGAATTACTCCCCTTAAATATGCCCAAATTTGCTTCTGGATACATGGGAATGATGAGAATTGCACACAAGGCTGAAGACAGCTGAACCTGACTCACTTAGCACCCGTATTGCCATAGAGTGAAAGTCTGCCGCAGCAGTTACCGGAACGTCACTCCACATCAGGAGGTTTTTTGAACTCAAAGCTCACAAGTAATGTTATGGTGACTGGAGGAACGCTGAATTGCTGGGGGATGGGTAGAACTGTCAAACGAAATATTTCTAATTGTAATCAACCCTAGATATGCACTTAAGATCTCAAACTATATTTATGTTTGCAATTGTGATAAATTCAAATCATTCACATCAGCAAAAAAATCACTACACCTGTTTGTCATTTTTTGTCCCAAGGGAAGGATTGAAACATCTCAAACTGGTATTATTAAACAATATCTATTTTTCCGATGGATTTGCTTTTCTCAGGGTTCCGCTCTAATGCTTCAAATGCAAGTGGTACATACAGCACATTACTGTGTGTGCAGAATGATCCAGAGAACTGCAGAGACCAAGACACTATTTTGGCATTCTCTAAAGACCACAGCTCCATGTTGAGAAGCAGCAGCCTAGCTCATGCTCATTAGTTTGAAAACTTCCTCCTCTGGTTGCTGCAG